TTTAATGTGCACCAAACGGACTCTAAGTTAAAATCTTGTCGACTATACTATTTAATCTTTTATCTTATCTGATACTACTATGCTTTGCTTACAAGGCTGTTGAATAGAGGGGCTTCAATTGACCAATTTCCGGGCCCAGTCTACCTTCCACAATGCAAACCACAACACAAACCAACACCACCCAAGTAGCACACCGGTTGCTCTACAGATTATAGCTCACAAAGGACTGGGGTGAGAAGATTACAGCCTAGAAGAAACAGCCACAAAGGCTAGGTAGAGAAAATAATCTTCCAAGTGAAGCACAAAGCCAATGCACAAAGTAAAGAAGAGGAGGAATCGGTTTTCTCAAGAGTACACGGCTACTTAACAATCTTTTACCCACCAAAACAGTAATGGACAACCAATAAATAGGTTAGAAATAGACATGGGCTTTAGGTCAAATAGTGGAGCCCAATAACAAATGGGATAATGGGCTAACATCCTTAAAGCCTTCCAAGTACTTGGGTTGGGTCATGAGCAACACTAATATAATTAGGTTGTTTCAAATAGCCCAAGTGGGTTACGTGAGAGATTTAGACAATCGTGGTGTCGATTCACAACTTCAGCCATAGCGACCGAAGCCTATGACGTATAATCCAACAATAAACTGGTTTACATCATCGCCCGGATTATTGGGTATCAAAAAACCCAACAATCTCCACCTTGATTCCCAATAAATCTGCAAGCAACCAAAACACACAATTTATACTTGCACAATCAAGGCAACTAATAAAATTGGTATCACAGACCTTACCTCGTGTTTCGAACCCGAAACACATACCATACCTGCTCCATGTACTCACCAGGGCTAAGGTCAAGAACACCCAAGTAGAAGCAGATAATTACTGCAATTAATCAGAGCAAATAAATATGCGATGGAGATATCATATAGGATAATACAGATCTTATCAAATACGTTCACACAGAACAACAGATTAACACCAAGTCAATCAACAGGCCAACACATACGCAACAAATGCATAAATGACCTCATGAAGATCTCACCACACTTATCCTATCCCATTGCGTGTTGCTCACACCTCGAGAACACATATCTCACCTCATCGTCCACAAAGCTCACTAGACTAATCACTCAACTCATGTCTAACTGGTAAGCTTCTATAGATCCTAAGTTATCGGGATAATCCTTTATCACCACATCACTCCTCCACGGTTTTACCTATTACCCAGAGGTGGAAATTGAAGTGATAGAAGTGCCGCACTCGCACTCCACCTGATCAGGGTCTCTTACAGATGAAGGATTCCAACATTTGATCACATCTCCACCGTGATCTAAATGTCACACTTCACATCCCTCGATACAAAACCACAATGTACCCCTAGGCATCTATACTCCACCTTACTAAAAGACATACACACACATACTGCTAATGCATCCCAAACCCACTATGCATGCAAACACATTACACAAAGTAATAAAATCACCCCAATTCTTTCCAATGCACATATCAAACACATTGAAATGCAACATATAATCATGTAGGGAAAACGAACAATCAAACACACGCAGAGAGGATAACACACGAATGCAAATGCAGTAACTGGGTCTACTCTCAATAAACCTCACTAGGGTCATCACTCGACCCTTGTACCAAATTTGTCTCGCCTATCAACTTACCCTTCTTCTTAGGACAATCCCTAATGAAGTGTCCAGACTTTCCACAGCTATAACACCGTCTACCACTAGGTTTGTCCTGTCCCTTGCTCCTCTTCTTACCACCTTCATCACTTTAGTTACTACTTAAATCACCATTATCTTGAGCTCTACCCAAACTCATCTGCTTAAACTTCATTCTACTACTCATCATATGCAACTCACCGTTTCTCTTATCTTCTTTTTCAGCCTTAGTCTCTATCTCCTTACTCTTAAGGGAGTCTATAACAATCTCGGGGGTTAAGGTGTCTCTACCATACTTAATCGCATTCTTAACATCTCTATATGAATCAGGCATAGAATTAAGCAAAATGATAGCCTTATAGGTTTCAGACACCTTCTCATCACAATTAACAATATCTTGAACTAATTTGTTAAAAACATCCAAATTGT